GACTCGAAAATCTACTTATAAACTGAAAATGAGCTAAAGGTTTGGTATCCGAAGAATAAAATTATTATTATCTTTATTTATGTTTCGGTAACTTGAACTCGATATTTCACAACTTCCGTAATCTTTAACATAAATCACTTCACTCAGCCAGAGCTTCAAGCATCGTGTCATAAAGGTTAATCACTTATTTTAAATTCATTTACTATTTTTCATCAATACATCATTCTTAATGTACAAATTAGCGGACAGGCGAAGGTGCAGTAAAGTCAAGAAACAATTTTATTATCGGTCTTTGCCTCTCTGAATATATTCGGAGGGCAATGAACTGGCTCATTGCTGGGACAGGTGACTGCAGTAAAGCGTTTCTTCAGAACTTCTTATTCAGGCTAACATTAGGATCAGGGTAATGAATAAGCATCGCATGTAGAAACAATTTTATTCAGTGGTTGTATGAACGGCTGAAAATATTTATTCGAAATTCCGTTCCCCATTTATTATTAATCCGGTCACTCTGCTAGACCTGCGGTACGTTCTGAGTCAGCACAGATTCCCATAACATGATTAATAAATAGCACCCGGTGCTTGTCATAGTGAATAGTTTAAACTATTTTCGCATATTCCTGCTCTTGTTTTAACAGGATATCAGGTAGAGAAGCGAACTCCCAAAGGGAAATGGACCAAGGCGACGGCAAGCCTGGTTCCAGGGACAACGGTCAGCATCACTGGTCTTGAAGAAGGATCAGATTATGAATTTCGTGTCATGGGTGTCAATGATGCAGGTCTTGGCGATCCCTCAAAGACCACGCCACCTCAGACAATCAAGGACCCCACATGTATGTCTATTGAAATTCTTAATTAATACTTGGGTCCATAGTTGTGACTATACTATTATGATATTTTTGAAGTTATATATATATATATTTATATATGTGTGTATGTATTTATTTATATACCTTACTGTAATACCTCTATTTTAGCTTTGTGGAGTATTTCATAACATATGAATGTGCCTAATTTAGAGATTCATAATTCTATATTATAAGAAGACAACGGCTGTTTCCCATTGTTTTGCAATCGCTTAGTGTTACTACGATTTTCCAATTGACTCAGTCCATGAGGCATAATCACTCGTTTTGTGTGAAAACGGGGTGAGCCTCATTCCGTAATTTGACACACATCTTCAGAGCTTGAACTAATTTTTGCGAAAGGTTTAAGTTATCTCATATCCATAAGAAAGATAAAGATTAGGGCATATTTAAAGTATTTTTTTATTTGCAGCAAATCCAATTTTTTGTTTTAATTTTAATAAATTTCAATAAAAATGGGCTTTATCTCGGACAAAAGTAAATGTTATACAAATAGCTTTGCTTTATTTTTTTAATTTTTAAACAGTCCGTTTAAATGAAGTTAAAAACGTTTTTTTTTGTCATTTTAAGTCCCTCCTGGTAGCCCAGAGAATCTTACCGCACAAACAATCAACAAGAATGGTGTAACTCTGGCCTGGCAGAAGCCTCGCTCAGATGGAGGTGCAAAAGTAACAGGCTACCTCATAGAACGTAAAGGAGAATCCGGAGAATGGGAATTGGCTCGTCATTGTCCGGCTGATTCCACACAAGCATGGGTGCCAATGCAGGAGGGTGAGAAGTGCCAGTTTCGCGTGAAGGCCATCAACCCTGAAGGTGAAGGGGAGCCAAGCAAACCGACGAGTGTTATTACTGCAAATAATCAGGAAGCAGCACCCAGTCTAATGGGCACATCGGATGCCGTGGGCGGAGAAGGATCTGGTGTTGGTGGATTGAAGGACATTACGATCAAAGTATATTTAGCAAATTCAGAAAAGCGTATTCAGATGATTGTCTTTTTCATACCTTACAATCGCCACACGCAGCCATTAAATAATATTTAAAATGACGTATATTTAAATTATAAAGTATATTCTAACCATT